AAACGAGTAGAAAACTACAAATATAATCATATAAGAACAATAATAGTTGCTGAAAACCCCTAAAGCTTAAAACATTGTGCCATAGCAGCATAAAACAGTCTTGTGATTCGCTGGCAGGTGATTCATTAAAACAAATGGCTAACGCTGCAGCAGTTTTGGCCCACAGTATAATTACTGCTGTCAGTTAGTGGGTCAGTGCAACAACAGGAAAACTAAGAGCGGCTCTTGTTTTACTCAGCAGTAAATCAAATGATCATAATTTGGCATCATCACTGCCGGATGCACAGCTACATGGCGGTATTTTTGCTCCACAAAAGTCAAAAGTCAAACCTGGTTTAAATTGGGCTGATCTAACCCTTCAAGGTCGCCTCCTCAGGCAGCGATTAGTCAGATTGCTCCCCAGGAGTCCAATTCTGACCATTTGGACTTTTCTGCAATTCTCTGGATCTGCTCCACTGTGTAAAAATGGGGACCCTAGAACTTGAATGGTGGTGAGTAGAGTGGCTGATGATTAAAAACCACCAAACCATGTGGCTACTAAAAACCGCTTTTAAATGCTTTGAGTCAGCACAGTTGTAACCCTCAGATACCTCAGGAGATTATCGTAGAGTTTGCATGATTACAGTCTGTCACGGGGGAGAGATTCATGGTGTATAACCCTGTGAGTGTCGTAAAAAATGACAAGCTTGCTCCTGTGTGTGGTTTCAACTTCCACTAAAACCGTTTAATTTCTGAGTCGTAACTTAAAACCTTGTCGTACGCCACTTTGTAGCTGACGGTCAGTGATTAGGGGATATTTCAGGCTTAATTTATCCCTCTAATGTCAGCTGCAGTCAGCTGTATCATTAGTAGCCACTTTAGTCACTCAAACTAAAGACACATTTAAATCTAGACCTGCTAATGTGCAAACTTGTGAATTTCACTGACATTTTCTCATGTCTGGTCACCGCATCCCTGCTAGTTCACATCTTAATATCGGATCTCAGTGATACGCCTCGCTAAGAAGTACAAATCGGTTAAATGTGACTCAAAGGGTTGATATTTATCAAAGTCAGGTATGCTTTTTGATTTTTATTAGCAAAGTTCCTCTGAAAACTATTTTTTCTGTGTTTATCAGGGAATATAAAATATACATATTAACACTCAGAATTGAGAAAACACTGGATACTAAATATTGAATTATTATTATTGTTATTTTTTTAAACACAGCTGAGGTGGTGAAAAAACGTTTTTTTTAGTTTAAGAAGAAGTGCAAGAAGAAACGACACAGCCACAGCTGAACCGTGCTGAAGGATAATCTGTGGCTTGTTTCCAACATTTCCTGCCATCAGTTGCATTTTCTCTGGGTCGTTTTAACCCTCAGAGGCCTAAATGTTCCAGCTGCCCTGCTCCCAATCTAAAGCCTGTAATTTACAGGATAAACAAACAGGACTTCTGTGACAAGAAATGAAACAGTTCTTCTTTAACGTTGGACCGTTTAGTGCGTTTTTTTTTTTACTTGATTGCTGTGAGTTAGGCTTTTTTAAAAGCGAAAAATCACACGTTCTGATGGCTGATAACTTAAACCTCGCAAGTTTGATAACAAAGTGACGTCATTTGCTGCAAATTGGGGGGTTTTTTTGCAGCAGGAAGTTTGACTTTTGGGTGACATTCAGGACTGAAATGACTGAAAACATTTGATTTCATTTTCAGCATTTTCAACATTCATTTTCAGCATAATTATGAAGAGAAATGACAACAGGCCCAGCTGGCCTGTAGTATGGCTCGAAATTCCTCAGATATGATGTTTTATGATGTAACGAGACACTGAAGACACACACACACAAAGCCAGACAGTCGGGCTTAGTGTGTGTGTGTGTTGTAAAAGTATGTCAGAGTTCACAGCTGTGTATACTCACTGGGTTGTGCAATAATGTATGTCTCAAACTGTCTCTCAATCTCTGTGACTTCACTCTCAGATGACCACTGGACCACGGGGCCAATGCAATGATGAACGCTGTGAATGATTATTTTTTAAACAAGAGTAAAATTGCTCTATCGCCACGAGAGAATCGGTCCCAAGCGGAATATCACGTTTCCCGCTCGCCCGGTGCTGCTGGCTCAAAACAAATATAATGAACTGACGGCGGTGAATGACTCGCTGTTGGCGTTCAGCCAGACTGGAGCGGGAACGCCGAGCTGAGGGTGGTCGAATTATTCCACAAAAATGTAATTTTCTTTCTCTCCTTTAAAGGAAATGATTCCAGACGTCTTATTTCTAACATGTGGCTTTTATTCACGTACATGTATAATGGTATAACTCATCTATAAATTAGACACGCGAGCTTGCGGTAAAGTAAGTCTGAGTGCTGTCGTTTTAATTCTGTATGTGAAATTATGCGTTTAATGGGTTCACATTGTA